TGTTGATAACGTAAATACGCGCGCAAATGCTGACCTTTTACTCTATAGGCTAGGAAGTACACGTGCTCTTAAATGGATAGGCTGGAAATGTATGTGGTGTTACAAAATCATTGGCTATGTGCCGCGCGGGCTTTTGCTGTAACGGCAGGTAGTGGTCTATATACGATCTCCCCTAAAGAGGCTCAGGGTCGTGTTTTCCTAACCGGTCCTGCGTGTCCATGTGGGAGCTCGACCCTGGCTAGCCAGCCCAATAAACTCTGCTTTGTTGATTGCATTCACGAGTGGCTCTCTGTCTCTCGGGGGTCCGAACAAGTGGTAGAGCGCCTGCCTACCTTAGCAAGCATGAGGCCAAGTTCTATGGGCTGGGGGCATGGCTCAAGTGGTAGAGAGCTTGCCTAGTAAGCTGCCCTGGGTTCAAAATCCAGTAATGAAAAAAAAAAAAGTAAAAGCCACTGTGTATAAACTCTTCATTTCTATCAGATCATCCAATTTTATGATTAGTCATTATACACAAGGGAAAGATGAGGTCCATAAAGTTAGGTGGTTTATTCAAAGTTTTGGAAAGATGTCAGGAGAACAGTATTCATTGCACTATTATCTTGAGCTTTTAGTTTTAGTCTTGGCACTGTTGTACCCAGATCGCGAGACCCCAAAAGACCGCTCAGGAGTCCGAAGTCACGTGCAAAAACAAAGAGCCTTTATTCGGGCTTAAGCTCGGTCTCTCCGACCTCACTGACACAGCGGATCTGCACAGAGAGCCCCGAGCCTCACCCCAGCAGGGTTTTTATTGGGGAAGGGCAGGAAGCAGGACTTCCCATCCTAGGGGTGAACAGATTGGATGTTATTCAGGTGAGGGGGTCTTGGCATACTGGAATTGGTTTTTACTCCATTGTGTCTTGGTCATCAGGAGTGTGGCCAGAGTTATTCCTTTTTTTGGTCACCTTGGGCAAAGGCCTGCTTTGTTCAATTATGATTGGATCAGGGCTGAGGTGGTGCATTCCAGAGGAGGGTTCATGCCCAGGTTATGGTGCATTCCAGGGGAGAGGTTGTGCTTAGGTCAGTGCTAAGGAACAAAGGAGCCTGGGCCTGAAATGATGATGTCCCTGTTATTTTTTTAAACGGGGCCCCACATCTGTTATTTTTTTTTCCTAGTTGGGGCCCAAAAGGCACTATTATTAAAAAACTGTCACACTGGGCAAATAACATTTCAATATCTCACTTTCTTATTCTGTGACCTTAGGGATCAGAAAAATAAGATATAATAATATACAATGAAGAAGTTATTAGCTAGGTCAAATCAAGAATGTTCTCTGCTAAAAATTGGGAAATGCTTGAATAGATAAGTTAAATTTCTTAGCTACAGTATTTCTCAGTGCTTTTGATAAATTAGCATTCATCATGTTGGCATGTTCCACTTTGCAAACTTTCTGGACATATAAACACTTTTTTGTTTTATGCGATACTTATGAATGTCTTCTAGAATGCTGTACTATATAACTGGTAAATTTGAAGAATTTCAGGACAAATTAAGACACCACAAGGTGTCAGTAGGACACTATGAGTTTTATTTAGGCAGCACTTTGAGGTTTGCGTACAGAAGTCCCTCACTGCATGAGACCTTCCAAGGGCAGCAGGTTGAAGGAGCAACTCCTCAGAAGGGGAAAAAGATAAGGGAATTCTCAGAGGACTGGAAAAAGGGTTATGAGTCATAATGTTGTTCAGCAGCTGTGTTAGTCAGACTTCATCACTGTGATAAAACAACTTAAGGGAGGAAAGATTTATTTTATCTTAGTTTCAGAGGTTTCAGTCCATCATGACAGGGAAGGAATGGCAGAGCAGAGCAGCATACCTCATGGTGGGTTAGAAAGCAAGAGAGAATGCCTGAGCTAGCTGGCCCTCTCCTTTTCTCTCTTGTTCCATCTGGGCTCCCATCCCATAGTATGGTACCACCCACACACAGGTTGAGTCTGCCCTGCTTAGTTAATCCATTCTGGAAGCACCTCATACACACACAAGCAGAGTTGTGCTTTACTAATCTCCTAGGTGCTTCTCAATCCAATCAAGTTGATAATCATTATTCACCATCACAGCAGCACAGTGTCTGGGTTAGAGCACTCCAGAGGGTAGCTGTGGCTTGGGGTCTTTTATAACCCTAGGTTTTATCTTATCTTTGGGTAGCAAATGTTGGGTATAGCTTGCAGGGTATGCAAAGCAGGCAGGTTGTAGATGTAACAATTTGAGTGTGGCTGCTGCAGTCTTTTGAGCTAATGGTTCTGTTTCCTTTTTTTGGAGTACTGGGGTTTGAACTCAGGGCATTGCACTTGCCAGACAGTCACTCTATCATTTGAGTCACACCCTCCATTCTTTTTGCTTTAATTATTTTTCAAAGAGTCTTGTGTTTATGCCTGGGCCAGCCTGGACCACAATCCATCTAACTGGAGTAACTGGACCAGCACATGCCACTATGCCAGTTTTTTCTTTGTTGAGATGGGTCTCACCAACTTTTTGCTCAGGCTAACCTCAAACAGTGATCCTCCTGATCTCTGCTAGGAATAAAGGTGCCAGAAAGTCTGGCTTGGATGGTCCTGTTTCTGCTGTGCCTGGGGGCAGAAGAAAACAATAGCTTCTAGTCAGGAGACACATAATCGCTTGAGTCAAGAGAACTGCAGATAGGAGAGATATACAGAGAGTGGTAGGAAGTAGGATCTGAAGAACCTCAACTGTGCCTACAAGTCAGGGTCTTCCCACAGTGCTGACATGAGATCATGGCAGTAATGGTCTTATAAGACTGTTCCTTTACTTCCCCTCCTACCCATTCTAGTCCCACCCTCCACTGACATTGGCAAGTTAGAGAAGAGAATCATGAGATAGTGTGCACAGAAACTAATGTCCCCTCACCTACTGAAGCATTTCTACCTAAGCAAACATGAGGTGAAGGAGCAAAGAGCTATAACTTCACCTTGTTTAGAGTATTACATTAATATTAAAATCTAGGATATTTTAATTACTGAAGTAAGAGGGTTTTAGTCATATGAAATGACAAAACATTACCTATCTGAGAATGATAAAGTCAGTGGCACCTGTTTGAGATTTCATCTGACAGTAGGGAAAAAATTAGCTCCCTTAGAGCAGGTTTGTAATTAAATTAGTGCAAGGAGCTAGGCATAACAGTGCATGCTTACAATCATAAGACTTGGGATATTCAGGCAGGAAGACTGTGAGTTTGAGGCTAGGCTGGGCTACATATTAAGACCCTATGGAGGGTTGGGGTGGTGAGGACAAGGAAAGTAAGAATCACCTTATGAGTACCCCTTGTTGTTCAGTATGCGAGATAAATGCACACATAGCTCAAAGAGTAGATTTACATACTTCTAATTGGTATTCCAAAAAGTTCTATTATTAAAGGTTACAATTTACATACTGAGGTGTCCTCTGCCTTAAAAAATATCCTGTTAGAATGTTAGAATACAATTTTCTGCTTTGATGACAAAAAAACCCTCTGTCTGCCTTCTTGAAGAAGATTACCTTAACCAGGGCCATAAAACATGAGAAATTGCCAATTAAAGCTATAAAAGACAGTTCAGGGCCGAGACAAAGGGCACCATGCAGAGATAATCGCCCTTTCCCAACTTCCTTTGTCTCCTCTTGTAAATAAACTCTCCAAAGCAGATCTCCCCTTCTCCCTAATTAATCCCAGCACATTCCTTGTAACCTGATGCCCTGCATTGCCTTTTAAATATCCTGTGACTCCTTTGTTCAGTGCTCAGATAAGGAGTGTGAATCCATCAACCCCCAGTGCAAAATAACAGGTGAAATTCTCCACTGTCGCTTGGTTTCTCGTCTGACAGTATTTCCACAACATTCTCACAATACCCAGAATAGTATGTGTATATGTGTGCCTATATGAATATGTATATAAATTATTTCCTTGAAAGTGCTATGATTATTATTATTATTACTACTATTACTTCAGTACTAGGGATTGCTAGGGAAGCATTCTACCAGTGAGTTGATATTCCCCAAGTGCCTTTTTCACTTTATTTTGAGACAGGATCTAAGATGCCCAGGCTAACCTCAAACCTGTGATCCTTCTGCCTTAGTCTCCTGACTAGCTAGGATTACAGGTATGCAGCACTATGCCTGAATAAATTATTATTATTAATTTTTAATGGGTTAAAATGATGATGATTTTAAAAGGCATAAAAGTGAAGTATTTTTCCCATTCCTGTCCCTCTCCAACTTTTCCTAAAGGTAACCATGACTAATAGTTTCTTATGTATCCTTTTTGGCTCTCGTTTCTTGAGAAATGAGGCTATAGTCTTGACTAAGACTGGTTATCCAAACTTAAGATAAAACCGAAGGAGCTTTCAGGATAGTAACATGACCTCCAGAATATTTTTTCCACTATAATTAGAGAAATAAGCTAGAAGGCCTGGGCATAACTCTTGATTTATCAGGAGAAACAGGTTTGTTATGGCATGAGACACATTTGGTAGGGGCAATGTATACGGTTTCTGGGGTAGGGTAATATTCAGTGTCATGGTTCTTTTATAAATCAAAAGGACAATGGCTACTTTGTTCTCCTTCAGTGAAGAGCCAAATTAGCTTGAGTCAAAATTATTCTGAATTCCAATCAATCTACAGTTTAATGAAATAACAGTTAACAGGTCATTCAGCATATATGCTAGATGTAATATTAAAAACTTGAAATCTTGTCATTTTATAGCATAATATTTAGTATCATGACCATAACCAATGCTGCCATCATCATCCTCATATAGCTAACATTTAAGCACTTACTACCACCAGCATCATCAAGATGACTGACATCATTGAGCTCTCCCTACACGCCAGGTATAATACAGTTATCAAGTAATCACTGTAAGTAAGCCTATCAGGCAGGATCTGAATAATGGAATGGATTAAGTAATTTTCTCATGGTCACACACTTAATAAAAGATGAAGCCAAGGTTTAAACAGAAGCAGCATATCAGACTAACCTGTTATTAGGGGGCATCCGTGGAAGCATAATATACAGATCTGAGGACAGTAAGTAAGGACAGCTTCTACAGCCTCATCAGTCAGATTTACACAATGTCCCATATGAATCTCCTATTTAAAAAAAAAGAAAACCAAAAGACAAAAATAGGTAATAGTATAAAAAAGTTTTGGAAATACTCTGATATAAAAAGAGCCAAATATCTGCTTGCAACAAACAAAAAACAACTATATAGAAAGGACCAGTATAAGTCTAAAGTAATTTGTAAAGTAAAGTAGCTTTAAAAGCTAAACAACCAATCATTTTATAAAGCAATTTGGCAATATCTGTTGAAGTTCACCCCAGAGGTATGGCTCAAAGCAGTAGGGTGCCTACTTTGCAAGTGCAAAGTCCTGAGTTCAAACCCAGTCCCACCAAAAAAAAAAAAAAAAAAAAAGTTAGTTTACTCCAGAACATAGCAATTTCAACTGCAGATGTCCACTATAGAGAAACTCCTCTACAAGTACACAAGGCAAGAATTTATAAATATGCCCATTCCAATATTACTTATCATAGTAAAGAAGTAGAGAATGGATAAATGGTTTGTTAGTATAATGGAATAAGATAAACAGTAAAAATGAGAAATATCTACTTGTCAGTAGACATAACTCTCAAACATAATGCTACTTTAGACTCTTTGGAAAACAGTATAGTTGTGTCTTATAAAGCTAAACATGTACTTTCTGTATGGCCCAGCAGTTTTGCTCCTAGGTATTTACTAAGAAATATGAAAACATATGCCCAAAGACTTGTACACAAATATTTGTAGCAGTACATATAATAGTCCAAAATTCAAACAACTGAAATGTCCATGAGATGACGAAAGTATAAACAAATTGTAGCATATCCATACTATGGAATAATGTTCAACAATAAAAAGGAATGTAATACATGCAACAACATGGATGAATCCCCAAAACATTATACTAAGTGAATGATGTAAGGTAACAGGAATAATAATTAAAAAAATAAATAATCAGACAGTATTATGGACTATATTCAAAGACTGACTATATATCAGACCTTGAATGAAAGATTGACCACTAACTTAAGATCTGTTTATAGAACTAGGAATTGAACCCATGGCCTTGTGCATGCTACATAAGTGCTCTACCACTTTAGCTACATCTGTAGCTCTTTTGTTTATATTTTGTTTTTTTCAGAAAGCACCTTGCTAACTTTGACCTGGCTGGTCTCGAACTCCAGATCCTCCTGCCTCTGCCTCCTGCCTCTGCCTCCTGAGTAGCTGGGATACAGCAGTGTGCCACCATACCCAGCTCTAATTTCAGACCTTTTTAAATAGTTGTACATGTGACTATCAAGAAAAATAGGATGGTAAGAGAATTAGTAGTCCTGGTAGGAGTATCAGTCAGACATGAAACCCTAAGGAATATCACTTTAAAGGGATAAACATCTTTATCCATAATAAGATTATCCGGAAATCTGTTAGAAGCTAAAACTTTTAGGATACAAGATTTTCACTGGAATAAAATGGATTTTTATTTAAAGGAAATTTATTTTATCTCCTCAGTTTCCAATTTTTTTTTTTTTTTACTCTGGGAATACAGAGGTGGAAGCAAAAAAAAAGGAAAAATTCTGGGTATGGTGGCACATGCCAGCACTTGGGAGGCTGAAGTAGGAGGATCACAAGCCAGCTTGGGCCACATATTCAGACCCCATCTCAAAACAAAACAAAACAAAAACAATGAAAGGAAAAAAAAATCCACAAAATACTTAATTGATAAGACTTTGGTTTTCTAGGTTTAAAAATATTCTCTAGAGTAATATAAAATTTAGCCACCATCATCTTTATTGATACTTTAAAATTACCTCTAATTTCTTGGCACATGGTCCACTAACAAGTGCAACCACACCATTGTCAGATACCTAAGCAAAGTGAAAAAGAAACACAGCCCATGAATGGGTTGATAGAGGAAGAATTTTCTAAAATGTATTAATCATTTAGAAGTAAGTACCTCCATTTAGCAAACATTTTTTAATCATATATACTTCCCTACCTTCACAACTTAAAATAATTAAGGGGAATATGCCAATTATATTACAATTATATAATTATCAAAAGCATGAAATGGTCAGCAATTTCAACAATAACAAAAATAATTACGTTCTTCTGATTAGTCTTGGAAATAACCTGTATTTCAAAAGTCTATATTTCATTTACCTGACTAGCAGAAAAGTCGACACACTGCAAAAAAGGGCAGTTTTTCCCTAATGCATGTAAGGACACATCAGTAATACTCAAGCAGCCACCAAGATCAATGATCTTCAGCAGCCGGCAATTGAGTGCAAGAGCAAGGACTCCTTCATCAGTGAGACTGCAGCATCTTTTCAAGGAAACTTCATGCAGATATGAACAAGATGAAGCCACAGCTTTTATTCCTGGGGGAAAACAAAATTATAGCTCAATGAGTTATGGGTGTGTGTGTGGTGGAGGTGGGTGTTGTAAAAACTAAACATTCCTGAAGAAACTACTGAGACACAATTTCTTCAGGCAAGCACTAGGTGGGTAACTACTTCCTTCCACAAGGAGCTATTAACATAGGTAGGCTTATTGGAAGCCTATAGGATAAAAGACACCAGAGGTTTATTTTATTTGCAGTGTTAAGGATCAAACCCAGGGCCTGGCATATGTTAGAAAGCGCTCCACACTGAGCTACCACCTCAGACCTTCAGAGGCTTATTATTACTTCATTTTTAATAAAGGGGTTGAACACAGGGCCTCATACTTACTGGGCAGAAGCTCTTCCACTTAAGCCACTACCATCCCTTTTTGTATTGGTTATTTTTATTTATTTATTCATTCATTCATTCTTTGGTGGTACTGGGGTGCACTGGTTATTTTTGAGATGGGGTCTCACTTTATGCCTGGGAAGGCCTTCTCTCGGTAGCTAGATTATATGCTACCGTGCTCAAATATGAGATGGAGTCTTGCAGCCTTTTTGCCTGGGCTGGCTTGGAACCACGATCCTCCCAATTTTTGTCTCCTGAGTTGCTGGGATTACAAGCTTGAGCCACCATTCCCGGCCTTAACTCTTTTTTTTTTGTGGGATTTGAACTCAGGGCCTCACACTTGCTAGACAAGTGCTCTACCACTTAAGTCATCCCTCCAGCTCATTTTTGTGTTGGGTATTTTTGAGATACAGTCTTGTGAACTATTTGCCCAGGCTGGCGTCAAACCATGATCCTCCTGATCTCTGCCTCCTGAGTAGCTAGGATTACAGGTGTGAGCCACTGGCACCTGACTCCTATTTCTTTTATGTCTTCACACTCTCTTCTGAATATTTTCCCTTTCTTTGCTCCAAAATTACACCACATGGTAAGGAGTAGACTGTCCACTTATTCAGTGATAATAAACATACCTTCTGAAGTTATGGAAACTCTGTCTTCTTGTGAGGAATTTAAATTTAATGCCTTCAGCTTTCTGCAGTTACACACGTGCTGGAGAGCAGTGTCTGAGATATCACAGCTCCGTAGATCTAGAATTTGAACTTCAGGATGTAAAATCTGTAACAAATACATGACTTTGAAATATTAATTTTTGAGCTGGAGATGTGGCTTAAATGCAAGGGCCTAAGTTCAAACCCCAGTAACACCAAAAAAAAAAAATTAATTTCCTATAAATACCAACAGTTATTCCATAGTCAGTGTTTTGGTGACCATAACATATACACAGCTGATGGAAAATACAGCAAAGAATATAGAACTATATCCACTTGGAGACAGATACATAAAGCAGGAGAAATCAAATCTGCTTCCAGCTAGAGAGCAGCATTTAGTACCCCAAAGTCCTTACTGGGACAAAAAGCACTGGTACGCATAAAAATCCCTGGACCTGAGAGGCATAACCTCTGGTAGTACGTGATTATCTCTCCTGGCAGCTCCTGACTGTCATTAGAGACTCTACCTATGTGCCTCCATGCTCTCTGCAGGTATTACTGAGGAAAAACCTTGCTCTCAGAATCAACTTAGATATCAGGCAGTCTGTGAGAGCAGAATCACAGTTCTTTCATAATGAATCTCTCCCTGGCAGAGTGGCTCAGGTGGTAAAATGCCTGCATAGCAATTGTGAGGCCCTGAAGTTCAAGCCCCAGTACCACCAAAAAAAAAAAGAAGCACCAACATAATAACATAATGAATCTTTCTCTTTCAGTATTACTGAGGAAAAGCCTACATACACCCTCCAGCTTCACTAGCTGTTTAAAAATCACTTACGTTAGAGGTCACCCAGCAGAGCAAAACAGTATTTTTTTGGACACTAAATAAAACCTTTCTTTATTACCAACACTTCTGTCTTAGACATTGGTTTTTCTGAGGGATGATCTTCCAGACCTGTGTCTCATAACCATATGAATCTAATAATTTGTGGACTAAAGGCTTACAAGTACTAATATTGCTTATCTAGAACATTTATTTTCTTCATCTTTACTCTTGGGAACTTGGTTAAAACCCATTATGTGGGGGAACTATTATTCAATATGCTCTCCAGGCTGATAAATAACAGGTGAATTTCTAAGCATTCTGAGCTCTTTTCCTGGGACTATTCTTCTTTTTTTTTACTTTAAGAAATGGCTTTATTTTTCTGAATATAAAGTGATGAATTACTATTATTGTAAAACATTCAAACAATATAGAAAAATTATAATAAATGATAATAACTGTTCATATTTATTGGGAACTTACCAGGAAGGATACTGAATGTTATATACACTGTGTTATTTAATGTTTACACACACACATTGGCCATTGCTACTTTATAAACAAGGGAATTAGGCACTAAGAGCTTAAGTAGCCAACATGAAGAACACTGCCAAAGAGGAACAGTGGGATTGGAACACAGGACCTTCTAATTACAAAGCCAATGCTTTTTTGTTTTTGTTTTTGGCAGCACTGGGGTTTGAAATAAGGCTCTCATGATTGCTAGGCAGGCACTCTTAACTTGAACAATTCCACCAGCCCCAAGTCTATGCTTAACTGAATTTTATTATTATTATTATTTTATATTAGTATAAAATATACAAGCATTATAGCATTATTTTAATAATATGTTAATATTAATATATTAATATTTTGAGATGGAGGTCTCACTATATTGCTCAGGTTGGTCTCAAACTCCTGGACTCAAGTGATCCTTAGTATCCTGAGTAGCTAAGACTGAGGCATGTGCCATCACACCTGGCAAGTCTGTACTTTAAATCACTGTAACTAAAATTATCCATAATATCAATACCCAGAGCTAAAATTACATTTCTTTATGTTTTGAGATATGTAGCCTGGGCTGGCTTAGAATTCTGCATGTAGCTCAGGCTGCCCTCGAACTTGTGATCTTGTCTCAGCCACCTAAGTGCTGGAATTACAAAGGTGAGCCAGCATACCTGGCATATTTATATTGGTTTTGATGCTTTTTACATTTTTAAAAGTGCTTTGAAGAAAAATGGGATTAGATCACATATAAGCACTCTTTACTGAATTGCTCGAAGTTGCATACTCTTCCATTTCATGCAATTACTGTAACTTATTAAATGCGTCCTATACTGGCAGACATCTAAATTGACCATTTAGGTTGATTTATGGTTGACTAAGGCAATATGGTGTTATGATTAAAAACATGTACTTTTGAGACAGACTGCCAGAGTTTGAATCCTATGACTGAATATATCCTGTTTTCTCTCAGTGATTCCCCATCCTCATTATTAAAATGGGGACAATACTTTGTGAGAATCAAAAGCTCCTTGCTTATATAATATGCTGTACATAACTGTTTTCACTTTTATAAATGGTATGATGAATATACCTTTGAGCTTTTTAACTTTGTTGAGTCAAGGGTAAGCAAATTTTTAGGACTTTTTATAGTTAATGACAAACTGTCAAAAAAAAAAAACACCTAAAAGGTTTTGATCAATTTATAGTGTCACCAGGAGAGATTATAAATGATACCTTTTCAAACTATCACCAACAGTGGATATTATTGTTAAGTCTCTGCCAACTGGAAGGCAAAGTGTCACTTTACTAGTGAGGTTAAATATCTTTTTATATTTATTGAAAATTTTTCCCCTGTATTTCTGATTCTTTATTTGGTTGTTTTGGGTTTTTTTCTTATTCATTTGTAGAAATTCTTTAAATTGTCAGGATAAAAGGCCTTCTCCATCTAGACTATATAAAAAGATTTAGGAAATCTTTCAAAAGGATCTATCCAAAGAGGTGTATAACCCTTTTGGATAATTCCACAGCAAACTCTTGTAAGGATAAGAGAAAGAGTACTGAGGAAAATCATGCTTTGTTTTTCTATCTTATACCCCTTTTTGTTCAGGTAAAATTACATTTAAATAAATGTTAAAGATTGTCATGAAACACAAAATTAAGTCACCAATGTATAATCTAAGGGGATGAAAGGAGTGAGGATGGTGTTTGACCTCCAAAGGGCCAAGCTAACTATCCCAATAAAAATGTTGTGATGGTTAATCTTAACTGTCAACATGGCTGGGATAAGAAGCTTCTAGATTAGTAAAGCCCACCTCAGGGTGTGTCTGTGAGGTGTTTCCAGAGATGATTAACTAAGGAGAGAAGACCTTACCTGAATGTGGATGGCACTGTTCCATAGGCAAGGGGCCAGTCAGAATAACAGGGGAAAAAGGAGAAAGCCAGGAGAGCAGGCAGTCTCTCTCTGCTTCCTGTCTGTCATGAGGTGAGCAGAATCACCACATTCTCCCTCTGCTATGATGTTCTGCCTCAGCAAAGGCCCAGAATCAATGGAGTCATGGACTATGGACTAAAACTTATGCAACCATGAGCTAAAAGACATCTTTACATCTTAGGTTGTTTATGTCAGGTATTTTGCTACTGAAGAGGAAGATAGCCTTGAAACAGGGTCGTAAACCATGGTAACCTCAGACAGAGCTGTGAGGAATTGCCCATTAGAGCCATGCAAAAGTTCAGGACTGAGATGAAAGACACCATGCAGAGAAAAGCACCCATTCCTGTCTTTGTCTCCACTTGTAAATAAACTTTCCAAAGTAGGCCTCCCCTGCTGACCTTATCTAAACAACATTAGGTCCCTAGCTCACTACCAGCCCAATTAACCTAAACAATCTAAGGTCTCTAACTCACTGGTTAGGACACTATAACCTGAGCACATTTTCATAACCTGATGCCCTGCACTGCCTTTTAAACATACTGTGAATTGGGCTGGGATGTAGCTCGGTGGTACAGCGCTTGCCTAGCATGCATGAGGCCCTGGGTTCGATCCCAGCACCAAAAAAGAAAAGACAATAAATAAATAAATAAATAAATATCCTGTGAATCCTGTATTCAGGGCTCAGACACAAGTACACATCTGAGCCTGCTGGCGTAAAAATAAAATCTGAGTTCTCCACTCCTCCAAGTGTCACTTGGCTTCTTGTCAGTCAAAACATTCCCCAATACTACCACAAATGAAAAGTCTGACTAATACCAAAGTCTATGTTCAAATGCAAGTTAATATGAAGAAAATAAAGGTACATCAGGTTAATGTAGAAGAGACACTATGATACATGAAGCACAATTACAATGTAAAATCACAGTGCTAGGAATAGGATGGAATGCTGTCACTGAAGCTTGCTTCCTTTTGATCATAGACTTTGGGTAAACATGAGGTTAAGCCAGAGCAATTAGCATTCTAGTCTGCCTACAATGATGAGGGACATTGCTGCAAACCCAAAGACAATATTTAAAAGTAAGTAGTGTAGAAACTATTAACTAGCATTTGAAACACAAATAGCAAAAATGTAACAGATAACATAAGAATAATAAATATTAAGGAGAATTTATTTACTATGCGTTTTTTGTGTATGTGTGAGACTGGGGTTTGAACTCAAGGGCTTTGTGCTTACAAAGCAGATGCTCTACCATTTGAGCCATGCCTCCAGTCCATTTTGCTCTGGTTATTTTGGAGATGGGGTCTCATGTACTATGTGTCTAGGCTGGCCTCGAACAGCGATCCTCCTGATCTCAGCCTCCCAAGTAGCTAGGATTTCAGGTGGGAGCCCTCAGTGCTCAGCTTACTATGCTTTTTAACAAGTAAGAAATGAAGGGCTAAAGTTGAAGCACTAATCTGAGGGCAGAATGAGAAATGATTATCATTTTCTGGTGCCGGACTCTCTGTCTTACAGCCTAATACCATAGGCTTAATTACCTTCTTCATCAGCTCAACATGGCTGATTCAGACTGAGGCAAGGCCCTTACTCTTGCCACTACCAGAAAGAGTGTACAGGGTGTTATGTGCTCAAAGGACAAAACGGACATCTGGAGAACACAAGTATTTCAAAAGAAAAACAAACTGGATTATGATTCCTGCTTCAGGAGCAGAGGAATTAGAACAGCAAAGCCAAAGACATTAACAAGCAAAATGTTCTAAAAGAAATAAGGGAAGATGTTATAAGAAAAGAACAAGAACACATAAAAAGGTAAACTGGAAATATTAGATATGAAAGCTAGAACAGTAGGAAAAAAGTATAGTATATACAAGATAAATAGACTAGCTGAGGAATGAGCAAGTCAGTGAAAGAGTCTACCCCCCCACATACACAATTATTTCTCAGAAGTGCCTCTTTGCTCCTGCTCGTTCTGTCTCTTAAGGATTAACTACTCACTAAAGCCTAACTCATAAAGATTAATTGCACACTAAAGTTAGCAGAATGAACAAACCCTCCCTTTCCAAGCATTTCCTAGTCCCAAGCTACAGGACATTACACCAGAAAGGATGTTTGCCAGCAATGCTGCTTATAACAAATGCTAGCACAAGTAAATTTTAATTGACACAGAAACTTTGACCATCTATGTCTGCTTCAGATCTACTGGACTGCAATTCTCACTGATCTAATGTGAACAAGATAACACAAAATATACACAGCCACACTCCGGAAGAGGCTATTTTTTAGAACCCTGGACAACCTGAGGTGCCCACCTGTCTGGGACCCATACACCTTCCTTTGAAAAACTGTATAAAAAGACACTCTCTTAGGACAAGGGGGTAAGATGGTCACTGAAGGTGAGAACTTTCCATCTTCCAATTTGCCAGCTTGTTGCTAATAAAGCTCTTTCTTTTTCTGCCAATCTGCCTCTCAATTCATTGACTCTATTGGGTGATAGTGGAATTGAACCTTGCATGGTTACTTTAGTAGGAAGTGTAAAGGATTAATAAAAAACATAAGAGTTAAAAAATATGAAAGATTAAAATAGAAATGCTAACATATGGGTACTAGTAATCTTGGAATAATAAAATTAAATAGTAGAAAAAAATTCTCAGAATTAAAGAGAAAAGATTTTATACTGAAAGGCCCAACAGGATCTATAAAGGGTGATTCTTCTTTTGGAAAAACAGAAAAATTCCTGAATTGTTTTCTTATGATATGAGGTTGCGTGCATGTGTATGTGTCTTGCTCTTTTTAGGAAGGAACTTTTTATAACTTTACCCTTTGTACAACATACAGCAATATGCTGATTTTCATAGACTATTTTATTTTCCTGTCATAATTTTGTCTGTGTGTGGTACTGGGAATCAAACCCATGGACCATGTGCATGCTAGGCTCTACCACTGAGCTACCCAGCTTGTCTGTCATTATTTTTGAACATCAGCATGATACCCAACAAAAGAACTAATTTTTCTTTCTTCATTCTGTTCTTTTTTCCTTTTTGAGGTACTGGGGTTTAAACTCAAGGCCTATACCTTGAGCCACTCCACCAGCCTATTTTTGTGACGGGTTTTTTTTCGAGATAGGGTCTCCTAAACTATTTGCCCTGGCTGGCTTCAAACCACAATCGCCCTCAGCCTTCTGAGTAGCTAGGATTACAGGAATGAGCCACCAGCACCTGGCTCTCATTTTTTTTTTAAATCAAGAAATGTGTGAATTTCCCATGCCTTCTAGTCCTATTATTTTTTCTTTTTTTTTTTTTTAACACAAATAAGATAGCTTGATGCCTTGAAAAGCTGAATTATGATTTCATTATATGATCAAAGGCTGAAAAATACATTCTTTATTCTAAGCACTTGCTAAGAAAAATTACACTCAACTTGGAAATGAATAGGAAAAGATTACATTACCTTTAAAATGAAGCCAGAGTCCTGCTGAGAAGCCTGCCTGAATTCATTTGCCAAGGCCGCAGTAAAAAAGTACCACTAACGTAACACAACGGAACTTTGTTTTTTTACATGGTGGAGGAAGAAGTCTGAAATCAAGGTGCTGGCAGGCAAATTTTTCCTGAGGACTCTGAGGGGACTGTCCCATGCCTCTCTCATAGTTTCAGATTAGGGCCAGCAATCCTTCACTTGCAGACACTTCACTCCAGTCTCTGCTTCCATCTCCACATGCAGTCTCCTTGTGACTCTGTGTCTTCTTAGGGCCATCCTCTTGTACAGATACTAGTCATGCTGGTTTGGAGGCCCACTCCACTCCAGTGTGACATCATATAACTAAATATATCTGCCAATGGCCTATTTCAAAATAAGATCATTTCCTAAGATATTGGAGATTAGAATTTCAACATTTGTTGGGGGTAGGGGAGCAAACACAACTCATAACACTTTTTTTTAGGGTGCTGGGACCAACAACCACCAGCTGTCAATGTACCAAAAAATTATACTTCCAAAATCTCTTGATGTGCATTTGGCAAAAAGAGCAATCAGGCTGCACTACATGTACCACACACAACATGAACCCTTTCTTGCTACTTACTATTAGTTGAAGCAACGATCCTAATTACCTTACAATTGTGTAAAGTAAGATGTTAACTTGCAGAAAACTGATAAAATCAGATGCAAAAACTTGTGGTAGAGAAGATAGCCTTAGTCATTAGTGTTTTGTTTTGTTTATTTATTTTTTGGCAGTACTGGGGTTGTTTTGTTTTTGAAACAGGGTCTCCCTGCATAGCTCAGGCTGGCCTGGAAATCATGATCCTCCTGCCTCACCACCCTGAATGCTGGAATTACAGGTGTGAACTCCCATGCCCGACTCCTTAGTCATTAGTTTTATTGTCCTGGAAGACATTATCCAATTCTGTATCTAATTTAGTGAATTTACTTCAGCTTGTTTCTTCTAAGTTCATATAGGTATCAATAAATAGGTATCTGTTTCTCATCTATCCTTTGAACTAGTTTTACATTTCTACTATTTCTTTTACTAATGAGCTTAAGACTTTGACACACATTTACTATTTATGTAAAAATTATATATATATTTCTCATTTTTAGGATTATGTTTTAACATGCTGAAAGATTAGAGCAAAAGGATAGTTTTCACACAACGTGACTTTCACAAAATTAATTAAATCATTTAGTAAATGTAAAAGGTATGAGCCTTCTCTTTCAATCAACGAAGAAAAGAACCAGCCTGCTTCTATTAGTCTGGCAACATTAGGCCACCTTCCTTACTTTGTAACCCAATTTCCCATTTGCTTTTGCATTGAGGACACAGGCGCCTACTACTGACCCAGCTGGACTTCAAAAACTGAAACCATATGTAAGCAGTAAAACACAAAATGCTTGCTTTGCAGTTATGCACTCTTACCTCACTTATATTTGAATCTGTTATTCGCCCTTGTGTGCTCATTATCTTAATCAGTCTGTCTTTTATGTTGGGAGGCAACGGCTTGATGTCTGTGATGTATCTGGAAATATTCTCCATGAAGCACCAAAGGCATCTGAAATACAAATATAGTGTAATAAATCACACTGTGCTATACTGGTCGCTAACACTTTTCAATGCTGTTTGTTAGCACTTAGCCCTTCATAAACCAGTGTGAATCTTTATTAACATTTACAAATCTAGTTTGACAAGATTCAAAACCCTATTCCATGTAAAGTGATAGACAAGATGGTTTTCCTCTACATTTTTTTTTCAGCAAACCTCATTACCAAGATGCATTTTAAATGAACTAAAGTTGTTTCCCTTTTTCCTGTCAGTCTCCTTGATTCCTAAGACACGGATATCACCAAGATTTCAATCACATATTCCTAAGTAAACATTAAACCAGGGCCCACTAATTGAAAGTTTTTATCTATTAATCTAGCAATCTTGTTTCACTATTTTTCTTCAATTATGGTACCAAGGTTTGAACTTAGGGCCTTGTGCTTACTAGGGAGGCACTCTACCACTAGAGCCACTCCACCAGCCCTTCAATTATGTAGGTAATAAAATCTCTAGAGAAAGAACTATAACCACAAAGATTCTACAATGAGTATAAATTATAGAGACTTGTACATGCATAGAGTTATCAGAGCAGACAACAACCAAGACCCTTAAGAAGTTGAGGATGATCAACTCCAAAATAGTCTGATTTGGTATACTGACAACTTCAAGCCGAAAGGACTTGAGACTAAAGTTGCAGAATGGGTTGTCTGACCTGCCCTTTCCTACACATAGCAAGCCACAATCATTCCTGTGTAAAGGATACCTTCCTAGTGGCAGGGCCAGAAATAACTGGTACTCACCAGACTATACCTGCCTGATTTCAGTTAACTAGCTTATTCTGTCATATGTATTGGTATTTTGGTAGACAAAAACAAAATTCATATTTGTTTAAAGTGTGAGTTTCTCAGATGAGCATGAATTGTGCTATTTCTATACGTGCATATAATGTATTTTTATCAAATTCACCCCCTCTACTATATTTTCTCAACCTCCTCCCTTTTTTAAACCGTATTTGCTGGGTTTATTATGCTACTTTCATACATGTATGTAATATGTTGATCCTATTCATCCCCCAGGACCCTCTCCTTTTCCTGTCTTCCTTCTTCTTCCACTCTTCTACAATCATGTCACATTATTATCATTTTAGGTCTAGATTCTGCTATGAGCAAAAACAGGCAATATCTGACTTTTTTGAGCTTGCTTATCTTGTTCAACACGATGGTCTCTGGTTCCATCCATTTTCATTCATAAACATGAGTGTGCAAGTGTCTCTACTGTATGTTAACTTATACTCCTTCCATATATATGCCTCAGGGTGGCACAGCAGGGTCATACGATAGTTCTATTTTTATGGTTTAAGATGTTTTTGGAGTACTGGGGTTTGAACTTAGGGCTTCATACTTGCTAGGCAGGTACTTGAGCCACCCCTCCAGCCCCCATATTTAGTTTTTTGAGGAACTTCTATACTGATTTTCATAGTGGCTATACCACATTTCCAACAACAGTGTATAGGGTCTCCCCACCCCATTCCTTTCCAGCATTTGTTGTATTGATGATAGCCATTTTGACGGGGATGAGACTGAATCTTAGCAGTGTTTTGATTTCCATTTCCTTTATTTCTAAGGCTGTTGGGAGAAAAAGCAGTTTTGTTTTTTTTTTCTTTTTGAGCTACTAGGGTTTGAACTTGTGCTTGCTAGGCAGGCACTCTACCACTTGAGCCATACCCCCCAGCCCTTTTTGCTTTAGTTGTTTTTCCAGTAGTGTCTCATGTTTATGCCTGGGCCAGCCTGTACCACAATCCTCCTATTTATGCTTTCCTCAGAGCTGGGGTGAGAGGCATGTACCATGACTCCTAGCTTTTTATTGATTGAGATGGGGTCTCAAGAACTTTTTGCCCAAGCAGGCAAAAATCTTCCCAGTCTCTGCCTCCTGAGTAGCTGGTATTACAGGCATGAACCATGGGACCTGGCCCAGAAGCTTTTCAAATATCTTTTGGTTTCATTGATCTTCTCTACATTGCTTTTATGCTTTTCATTTTATTTATTTATTTCTGTCCTAATATTATCTCATTCCTTCTGCTTGCTTTGGGCTTAATTTTTCATATTTCTTGAAGTGAAAGATTAGTTTATACATTTGATATCTTTCTTATTTTTGATATAGGAAATTACAAATTTCCCTCTCATAAAGCTTTAATTACATCCTATAAATTTTGATGTCTTCATTTTTACTCACTTCAAAAATGTTTCATCTCTTAAACATCCTTCTTTGACTCCCTGATTATTAGAAGCATGTTAAATTTCCATATATTTGTGACTCAAATTTGTTACTAATAGCTAATTTTATTTCCTTGTTAAAAAAAAATTCTCTGTATGTAAGAAACAATTTTTAATTTATTAACTCTTGTTTTATGGCTTACCCTATGGTATACCCTGGAAAATGTCCTATATCACTTGAGAAGAGTATTATCTGATATTGGATGGAAGGTTCTACAGATGTCTGTTTGTTCTATTTATTTTTTGTGTTGTTCAGTGTTCTAATTCCTTGTTGGTTTTCTGCCTAGTTTTATCTATTATGGAAAACTGGGTGTCAACGTCTTCAACTATTATTGTTGAATTTTCAGTTTCTTCTTTCATTTCTGTCAGTTTTGTTTTATGGATTCTGGTGCAGTTGTTAGGTGCATATACATTTATACATGTTATAAAGTCCTGGCCAGGCATGATGGTGCATAGCTATAATCCCAACACTCAGGAGGCTGAGGCAGAAGAATTGCAAGTTTCAAGACAACTTGGGTTACAGACCATTTGAGGCTAGTCTGGGATACATGGCAAGACACTGCCTCAGTGTGATGGTGATACTTTTTATGATTAAAAAAATGTCTCTTTCAGGCAGTACTGGGATTTGGTTTGGAACTCAGGAACTCAGGCTTGCTAGACAGGCCTTCTACCACTTAAGCCACCTCTTCAACCCCTTTTCGCTTTAATTATTTTTCGGACAGGGTCTAATGTTTTGCCCAGGCAAACACAGCTGGGATTACAGGTATGTGCCAACACATCTGACCCCAAAATGTCTCTATCTCTAGTAACTTTTTGTTTAAGTGGGTATTTTGTCTGATATTAGTATACCCCATTTTCCTTACACTTGCTGTTTGTGTATCTTTCCCCACATCCTTCTGTTCTCTTTCAGACTATATACACTTTTGAATCTAAAGTGTGTCTCTTCCAGTCAGCACATAGTCAGGTCTTGTTCTTTTATCCAGATGGACAATTTTTGCCTTTTTGTTTGTCTTTTGTGTCTCTATTCCTTATTTACTGATTGTTTTTGCATTTAGTGAAGGTTTCTTTTCTCCCTCTTCCCCCACCCCTTTTTTTTGGGAGTACTGAGGACCTTACCCTTGAGCCATGACTCAAAAAAAATGATTTTTTTCTAATATCATTTAGTTTCTTCAATAATATTTTCGTTATATATTTTAAGTTATTTCTTACTGGCTACTCCATGGATAACATATACTTCTTATCGTATCAACTTCAGATTGTGGAGCAAAATGTACTGGTGTTCTCTGGGGCAGTAAGAAAAGGACTGGGACATCTGGGCCAATATGCTTTTTGGGGGGTTCCCAGGGGAAGCAGTGCCTATGCTCAGGCATCAATACTGGAGTAGGGAACTAGAGAGAAAAAAGTATCCTCACTGCCCTCATGATTCCAGGTCAGCTGGCCTCTCCCACCACTGCATTTTCTACACTTCCAACCAGGGAACAGCAGTCTCCTGTTGGCTGTTGCTGTAATTTATAACTTTTACAAACATCAAGCCTCTAGGTCTCTGATCCCTTAGCAAAAAAACACACCCAAATCCAACTGATGGGGTTTGGGTAAAATTCTCAGTGGGGAAGAGAAGTTAAAGTCCTGTGGGTGGCTTATTCATGTATAGTTGTGATTTTTCACTGCTAATAGTGAAATTGGTATTGTTTTGTTACACCTCCCTATTCAACTAAGCATCAGAGTGGATTCTCCTGTTCCAGGACTGGTACCTATGGAGAGGTAATAAGAAATAGGAGTTTGCCTTCCAGTCTACCTACCTGTCTTCTGAAAAGTCCTGGAAAAAAAGAAATCATAGCTTTAAACACTTAATAGCTACAAAAAGTATACAAATCTTTTTCAAGTACAAGATTATGGCTGTCACAGCCATTACACACACTCTATTAACCTGGTACTATGCTTGTGCTGAAACTGAATGCTTGAGCATAAAAACTTGTAACAGTTTAGCCCAGGCAAATGTAAGATTCCCCATCTCAACCAATAGGTGGATATGGTAGTGTACACCTGTCATACCCAGCTCCGAAGGAAACTGAGATTGGGGAAAGTGCTGTTCCGGGACAGTCTAGGCAAAAAAGTTTGTGAGACTCCATCTCGATGGAAAAAAGTTGGGTGTGGTGGCATACACCTATCATCCCAGCTATGGCAGGAAGTATAAAATAGGAGGATCAAGGTCCAGGCCAGCCTGGGAAAAAAGCAAGACACTATTTTCAAAATAACCAGAGCAAAAAGGGCTGAAGGCAATGCTCAAGCAGTACAGCACCTGCTTAGCAAGCATGAAGCCTTGAGTTCAAACCCCAGTACCAGCCCCCCACCCCACCCCTGAATAAAAATCAATAGCTTTTCTATATACCACTGGAAAAGAAGACAAGAAAACAATCTCATTCCCAATAGCCTCAAACGAAAATACCTAGGCACAAATTTAACCAATGATGTTAAGGACTTCTACAATTAAAATTATAAAGCACTTGAAGAAAGAAATTGAAGATGGCACTAGAAGGAAAGATACCTCTCCTCCATGTTCATGGATAGGAAGAATTAATTTTGTGAAAATGGCTGTAATACTGAAAGCAATGTACAGATTAAATGCAATCCCCACCAAAATACCAATGGCATTCTTTACAGAACAGAAAATCCTAAAATTCACATGAAGGCACAAAAGTCCTCAAATATCAAAGTAATCATGAACAAAACAGCAATG